ACAGGGGTAGTGAATTCCAAATATGTTTCTATAGATATATAGCAGATGGATACTTGAAAATAAAAGTACTGTTATTTCATCATAAATCTCATTAAGCTCATTTGCACCATTAATTTAACCTTAGTTGTCTTTGGTATAGAGAAATCTAAAGGAAGACTTCTACTTTCCCTCTACTACTACAAGAAGAGCACAGCAGTGTCTCCAAAGGCAAGACTGAGCTGAAACAACAGTCATTTTAGTGCATGTTTCAGTAGTGTAACTGAATTCCTGTTTTTGCACAGCACTTTATAAGATAAACACATTTACTGTAAAACATTTACCAGCATCTGCAAGGGCAAGGGTCTGAAAGATTTTTAAAAATTTTTATCTTGTTCTGGATATTTGTTTTCATTTCTCCAGCTATCACATACAGTTCTTACACAGATCAATCTTTCTCACAACCCCCTCTGCAATGGAAGGGAACCAAACTAAAGCTAGGACAGAGATTTAATGAGATACAGGGTGCATGTAAAATGTGACAGATGCACAATGGCTTATGTCACATGACCTACATTGACATACATAAGAGTTAGCAAATAACTCAGATGATGATGACTTTTCATGCAGAAATATATATCAAAGGTTTCTTCTTCATTTAAAGGACAGGCAATTTTACTGCTATCTTCAAAAACAAGTGAATACTTTCAAACCCAAGTCTGGACTTGTATTCCCACATCTAAACAAATATAACTTAATACTTTCTCTCCATTAACATCAATTTAAAAGGTGTTTATTGTACCCCACACGTTTTTCAATATCTGGCCACTTTTATCTAAGTATTGATTTAGGAGACACCATTTAATCACAGAATCCTAACCCAAATCTCCTTTTACAGCTTTATAGCATTCTTTTGAATGCACAATTCATGACTGTCAATCATTTACATGACTTAAGCTCACTTATGGCAGAACTTGATGGTTCTTAAAAGAGTTGCTGACGGTTGAAGCCCACTTTACTCATGGTAATGATATAAAGCAGAGCCTTCACTTGGTGTGGAAAGAAGCAAGATGAAAAAAATACACTTTGCATGAAAGAACACAGGTCCCACAAGAAGATGTGCAGCTGAGTTTTTATGAGCTAAATCAGACTACTACGGTAAACTTCTCCTGTACACTCCCTCTTTAAATGGTTCAAGTGATGGGCTGAATTTATCTAAGCAAAACTTCTTGCACTTCAAATATTTATACAGACAAATGTCTCTGCTGAACACACTTTCATTATCCTAACTCTGACTACTTTTGCACATCTCCTGTTTACTAACAAAAGGTAAGCAATTTGCAAGGGCTACCTTAGAAGCGATGGCAATGGTATTTACATTCTCAAAAGAGCAGCTAGTGATTTAATGTATAAACTTGAGGAGTGGCTTGATATATACTGGTGACTGGGAAAGAGACAGCCAGCAGCATTACAAAACATACTATTTATTTACTCTTTTCATGAAGGATACTGTCCTCAACAACTGTCAATCCACTGCTCAGAATATAACCTCTATTTTAAAAGGAAAAAACAATGCCAAGTAATCTGTGTACTTAGTGGGTGTTTTGCCTTCTTTGGAGTGAAACCAGTAGATACTGAACATATTTCACTTTTTGGCAATGCGTATTTTCCCTTTTTTTTTCCTTTAGGTACAAGGCTATCAGAAGAGTAGTACTCCTAATCAAACATATTCTATAAGCTACTTGACAGCATGTATTTTGTAGGCTGCAGTCAAAAGCATTGCATTTGTTTTAAAAACTAAAAACCAAACAAGCAAACAAAAAACAAACAAACAAACAAAAAAACCCCAAAAAAACCCAAAAACAAAAAACCACAAAACACCCACACCAAAAACCCCACCTTTCCAAAACATACTCGAGTGAATAAGCTAGGTTCCCTCTCCCTTCGCCAACCCAGAAAAAAGAAAAAAACAAAAAAAAACACAAAATAAGCAAAAGAGAAAAGAAGGGGAGGGGGGAAGGGGGGAAATTAACTGATAATATTGACTTTTTTAAACTCAAATCTTCATTAAAGCTGTTTTGGCCTGAGTTTTCTTCATTAATTTTCTTCTGTTGCAAAAGTGGTCAAAAATTACATTTCTAAGAGTTCTACTTTACTCTGAAGCTCTATTTTAAATTGAAGGGTTCTGAATCTAGGTTGTTTCTATTTGAAACATTACCTAGCAAAATGATATGTTTCATCTGGAGAAAAGCTCTAGAGGCTTATTTGAATTCATGCTACCCAGAGTTGATCCTCTTTGGGTTTCAAGAGCAACCCCAAAGGTGCGTTCATGAGCCAGATGCAAATTCTACTGCTGTCTAAAATGTAAACTTAAAACTTACACCTTAAATTTTCCTTAGGGACTCTTTCTTTAGTTTATGATATATATAAAGGAGTAATCTGAGCACCTATATGAAGGCCAGAAAAAGAGAAAGACTCTCAAGTTTCTTCTCTAAACCAGAGGAGGGGGGCACAGGGGATGGGGAAGCCTCTCTGGCTCTTGCTTAGCTGTTTGTTTTTTTTTTTAATTCAAGCTGTAAAGCAGGTGTACTTAATTACTTAAAGACCAAAAAACCTTTTAAAACCAAATATCTAAACCACCTTATTAGCATAAATATATTTTTCAAGACATAGTATCTTAGAGACTTCTTTGTGATAAAAACATTACAGATTTTCTCTTTCCACCAATATTAAAATAAATTCGTAGTCCTTAATTACTTAAGATGAACTATTTTTAGACTAATACCATTTGCACATGTTGAAAAACACGTTCAGAACTGAATCTTCACCATCTGGAACCTTGGCCAACACTGTGCTGAGTTTCTTGGGGGAGTATTTTGTTGGGTTTATTTGCTGAGTTTTAGCGGGGTTTTGCTGGGGGGGGGAAATGGTTCTTCTGGGGGGAGGTTGGTTCGTTAGTTGTTTTTTTTCTTTTTTTTTATTCTTCAGTTTGGAAGGGGAATTTTAGAATCTTGGCAACATCACAACAGTCTGTTAGAGAAGCTGACAGCAAGCTCTGAAGAGCATGTTCAGTGCAGCAGTATAGATGCATTTGTATCCTCAGAATAGGCTGGGAAGAACATTTACCTCAACAGCAAAACTTTGAAGCATGTAGCCCAGCTGCAATAGAGAACCTGGACTAAAACGAGCCCAGGTCTGTGTGGTACAGAGGAAGTCAACCCTTGCACACAAAAGCAACGAAATACATTATAATACTTGACAATTCTTAAAGCTGCTAAGAATTGGTCAACTACTGTTTTAAACTACTGTTTGGAGGCATTAAACAAAATGCCTCCAAAATATAAAGCAGTGCCAAAAAGAAGGTTTAGCTTTTAATCCTTTCCCTGCAATGATAGTCCCCACAGAAGCAGGATGAATACCAGTAGTTCAGCATGCAAATTTCTCCCACAAATAGGAGAAGAAAAAAGCATACTGCAAGCTCATTAACAACACCTATCAAGAGACATAAAAAGGTGCTGCAATTTAAGAGACTGATGCAGAAAAGTCAAGATAGACAACTCAAAAATACAATCATCCCCCATAACTAAATTTAAAAAAATCACAACTGCAAATTCTATCTGATAAGTCCCTGGAAGAAGAAAAAAAAATATACAGATTCTCCAACTATTTAGCACTTAAATAGAAATTTACGTCCTTCTGGGAGCCTGATATGTCGATTAAATCCATACAGCCTAGAAGCATCAAAACACGTCACAGAATTTACCGAGTTGGAAGGGACCCACAATGATCATCAAGTCCAACCCTTAGGCCTGCACAGGACCATCCCCAAGAGTTACACCATGTACCTTAGAGTATTGTCCAAACTAAATAAAGAATATTGTTTTCCAAAAGACAATGCACTGAAAGTCCTTAAGACTTGTCTTAAACTTATGGATTGGAGTATAAATGTTATTAAGGTAGCACACAGACACACAGCTTGATCTTCCATCATTTTTTGTTCAGTTTTGTATTACTTTCAAATTTAAGAGTTGAGCCAAATAAATACTTCTATATTCAAAAGTATGAGTGAGCAAAAAAAAATAAAATATATATAACCCTCTCTTTATCAATACAACAAAAAAACAGTGAGGGCAACACTTTATTAATTATACCTGCTTAGTAGTGGAAATGGAAGCGGTGCTAATTTGGTGAGTTGCATTTTATTAAGGCTCAAGCTCCAATTACTATGTATGAAAGCCTTTTTCAATTAAAATAGAGTTGTTCAGGGCAAAGTTCACGAATGCAGAAGATTCCATTAGAACAGCACTGCAATATTTGCTGATCATATTTAAGGAAAAGCCTTAAGTTGGAGGGGGTCACATAGAGCCCCCTTCATGCAGCAAGAGAAGGAAATATAAATGTTAGCATTTGTTTTTAAAAAAAAACAAAGCCATAAACATATGTAAATTCTGCATTGGGATTCAGTTCTTAAAATATCTCTATTGTTGTCTTGGTTTCTATTTGCTTTCCACAATACCCCAAATTGGCATTTTTTCAGAACTGTTAGATAGAGTGCCTTTACTTGTTAAAGATGCCCAGAGTTCTGGTTAGGGACTCCTTGGCCCTGCTCAGAATTGGTTTTGCATAGTAACAAAGGGGTGATTTTTCAACCAGTTGTCACATCCCTAAAACTTGGGGGTTTCTGGGTGCTTAAGAGATCACACTTCTGGTTACAAGACCTGCAGGTAAAGCTGGAGTGAGACACCATAATCCCATGCATGGAGCCCATTCTCTGGCTGTACCACCACCATTCCAGGGCAGTCCCGTGCACTGAACAGTGATTCTTTTACCTGCACCCGCTGCCAGGCTGGCAGAAAAGCTGCTGAACATGATCATGAACAGAGATCTTAACACTTGTGGAATTTCCTACTTTGAACTATTTTTGGTATTATTCTAATGCAAATTCCCTAACACTTTTATGCATATCAATGCTGCATTAACAAGCATTTTTACGATTTCAAAGTTTTCCATTATATCATCCTTACCTATGTAGTTTATCCTCTAGAATCTCCATGTACTTCTCAGCATTTTCTTTTACACTGGTCACTACAAAATAAAGGTCAGAGTTAGGTAATGGTATAACTGCTCAGTTTTGTGGGGGCTTTCTTTTTTTTTTAAACCAATTCAACTCTTACCCACATATTTTACATATATCAGTCAGGAATAAGAATTCCATTAATCTTTTTCACATTCAAATTACAGTGTGGGTGTCTTCTCCCTTTTTTCTTGGAAGTCTATTGTATCTGTATTACAGTAATATATCTAGCAATGAATGCATTAACCTCTTGGTTGTGCCAGAAAAATGGTAAGACTAACAGAGGCATAGTTTGTGGAAGTTTCCTCTTGACAAAAAAAAAAAACAAATAAAATCATCCCCACAAAAAAAGAAACAGCACCCACACAGCTAGGTCCTCCCCTTTACCTTTAGGAGAAGGAAGCAAGCCTAATGCATGCATAACAGTCCTTTAAAATGTTATGAATCCTGTATCAAACTTTTTCTGATAAAACCAAAAAGATTTTATTAGAAAAGAAATACCACTCAAGACCATTATGAAATTTAGGTTGTGCTTTTTTGTGGTTTGGTGTTTGGGGGGGGGGTTGTGTATTTGTTTTTAAAGTTCAGACCTAGACATTGTCTGAAAGAGTCCCTACAGCTTTTTCACCCAGAAGAAACTCCAACAGACCATAACACACAACAATAAAGCCATTCCTTTGGATGACCATTGGTACTTATCAATGGTACAAATGGGGAAAAGGTAAACCTCCTCCAGGAAAATGGAGGCTTTTAGATAATAACCATTTTCACACTATGATAACTTTTCCCCCCTCCCTAACAGCTGCTTGCCAACTTCAAGTCTAGTAGGACTGTAAATCAGGCGGTCTCTATTATAAAGTCTTAACTCATTGTACATCAATTAAATATATATTTTACATGAATATACATCCTATGGAGCATCACTGTTTTTACAGGCAAAACTTACGATATGAGTCAGGTACCCTGTGAATTTACCCACTCATCTCCCCTATCTTCCCCACAATACAATGCCATTGGGCACAGCTTACACACATATCAAGTGCTTCACATATTTCTCACTTTTCCCTTTTGTGTTTGTTTATTGGGGCTTTTTTCTTGAAAAAGTAGAATGTCACATGCACTAAAGCTGAACCTCAAAACTCAGCATTAATCAAATCGGGTGTGCTAAAGTTTAGTTCACACACACACACACACACAGGAGTTCACTGAGGTCATACCATTCGCAGCAGGTATGAGGGTCAATGTAATATTGACTATCTGCCAAAGGTGGTGTTCACCTTGTCACACAGCAGTCACACATCACTGAAGCACTCTGCATCCCAATAGCAAGTATGGAACACATTTTGCCAAGTTGATTTACTTTTTGGTTGGTTTATTGTTTTGTTTATTTTACGAGTTTATTGGATTAGCAAACAAACAAATAAAAAAAACCTGAAACAAACAAAAAACCCAAACTCACCACAACCCCAGTACTCCAGAAGGATGATTGTGCAGTATTATATTGTACGTAGACAACTGCATTAGCTTATACATTCACAGATCCAACTGACCATTAGAAGAGTGCTGGTAGATGTTATGCAAAAGGTTCTATAAGGATTTCTGCAATGGCACTGGAGACTAAACACCTTTTCCTAGCTTGTAGCAGTTCTGTAACAACTACAGGGCTTAGTGGAAGTTCACAGTTTCCTTACCGTGCTCTTATTCCTACACTTCGTGTGGAACTGCAGAGAGTCAGCAAAACTGTAAGTCTTCCTTTAATGACACATTTTAATGATCACCACTTTTCCGAACTCCCTATCCGTCAATCCCCAAATGCACTGACCTGAGGCCCCGTGCATGCTTTGACAGCAAATATCTTCAAGGTGTACAGGTGCCGTACTTCCCCTTCTCTTGCCATTGTCACAGTGTCCTTCAACACGAGCCATTACAACTCAGGGGCTTATTCTTTTCGATAATAAAGTCAGCAGATATTATTAGTTTTTGGAGAGGGATGAGAAGAGGTGGAGAATCTGTTTCACACTGGCTTTGTTTCTAACCGATATAGTGGCTTCTTATGTTACATGAAAGATAAACCTTGCTTTCAATTTCTCCTGCTGTGCTTGTCACTTTTTAATTGGGTTTGATCTGATGGAGTAATTCGCACTTTCACAGTTCACTCCTGCCCCTACATGCAGTTTTACAATGCCCTTGAAGCACACAGCTTAATATATCAGCATTATTCAATGACAAAAAGTAATGGACAAGAATACACCACTAGTAAAAAGTAGGTCAGTAAAAAGCTAACACTCATTTGGAAATCACCTCACATCACTAAACCCTACTCTCTCCTGTCAAACATTTTAACTACATTAAAAGAAATGCAAACTTTGCTGCTGAAAGAGAAAGCTCCCTAGACTATCTTTGTCTCCTTGCCTTCTTCTGCATGTAATTGGAAAAGCTGTAACCTGGAGATTTTGCTGGAAGGAAAACGCAGCTTAAAAATCTGATTAAGGTTACTTCCCTTGCAATAAACTGCAAATGGCACTACAACAGATACAGAAATACTTTCAGTCTTTTAGATTATCCATTGAAATAGAAGACAAGCAACAAATTAGAAAAATTTTTTTTTTGTTCTAATTTAATGAATTTATTCACCAACACTTCAAAGCAAAAAAAATGCATACAGGAAACTGTGTATGCCTTCAATCTGGCCAAGAAAGTACTAGATGACAGAGAAAAAAAAAGAAATAATAATTTATGAGATTCTTTTCTGCATGCCAAATGGTTTATTTTTACATTTAAGTGAATGGGATTGCCTTTTTCATCAGTTCCCTGGGGATTTACATGCTTAGCTCATATTGGCCTTGAAGGGAGTTATTAAAATAAAAAAGTATAAATACTCCATTAAAATAAAGAACTATAAATACTCACAGAAGATCAGACACCAGGGAATTTGCAAAGACTAAAAATAAACTTTTCTTATGAAGTCTTAATTGAAGAAAAGTGAGTCAGCATTTCCTTCTCTTATTTTTTCATAAATTTTTCTTCCTCCTTAGAGCAGCAAAGTCCAATCTTGGAATCAGTCCTGGTTAGACAGAGTTGAAGAGCAGCAGTGAACTCCTGTGGTGGTCTTTTAGTTGTAATAGAGCATAAATCTGCCATTTTATAAGCTGCATAAATACCTTTCAATAATTAACCTACATAGCGTTCTTTTAAAATAACATCACGTGTCATTTCTCATCTGAAAGCAGCCCCAATGGGGTAATGCTATTTCTGTTACTCACAAAGATTATTCAAGCCTGCATACGAAATGATATCATCACTTTTATTCTTCGGTCTTTTATTCTTTGGTCCTCAAAAATTGAGCTTAAAAAGACGTATGGGCCATGATATATGCTTTGGGTTCTATTATCAGTATTTTCTAAAATAAAGTATCTGACTGGAGACACCTTGAACACAGTGTTCATATGGACATTCCAGATGTGGATGCTTGGCAACTCAGAAGAATAAGTCTTTAAAACTGAATTACGGGCCTAAAAAAAATTGTAGTCAATATCACAGTAGTCTTTTACATGCTACCCCACAGGTCTGTAGTTCTCTCCCAGAGAAGTGATGTACTGAGTCCCAGAGATACAAAGTCCAAAGTTAATTTTTGCCTTCCACCCTAAAAGGTATTATTTCTTTTTTCTTTCTTTACTGTTTGGATGAATAATGTGAATACACATTTTTACACAAAATTAAAGGTTGGAAGAGCTGCAATGGCTGCTGGAAGATCAAGACCCAGCATGAAAAGAACTGCCAGACATTACCTGCCTGCATGATGAACCTGAAGCCTACAAAATTAGTCTCTCCAATTCACAAGCATTATGTTCCTTCTCGAATATCTTATTAGTCAGGTATGGCAAAACTCCCAGTGGCTTCAGGGAGATTTTTGCCTGACTTAAGGTCTAGGATGAGATTAGTCTCTTAAGAATGATATAAAAATAAAAGTAACTACATGGACATGCATTGATCCACCTGGGGCAAACTCTGAGGGCAGAATTCGGTGTGAACAAGGCTGACATGTTGCTTGTCCTGTCACTATTCTATTTTTTAAGTGTAGAAATTGTTATTAATGCTAAGAGAAAAGCAAAAGCAGAAAATGATTCTATGAAAATGATTCTAATCTTTTCTGTCATGGAAGATGTACTACATTAACGTGTGAAGTTGGGCTCTGAAAAACTGAAGAATGGCTTCAATACATTTAAAGGTTAACTTGAAAAGACAGTCAAACTTCAGAGATGACATCTCAGCTGCTCAACTGCATGTCAAGATGATTTATCCAGCCCCCAGTAAGAAGATTTTGGATTACAGAATGGTAAGGAATTTTGCATCCTGCAGACAGACAGGGGATAAACCCAAAGAACAAGCTCTGTGTGAAGAACAATGGCCTCCCTCCAGTGCATTGTTCCCAAAGAACTCTAGACAGAACTGAAAAGGCCAGGATTAAAGAGAGGAAAATAAGTGCTTTGATAAAAAAGTGCAAATACTCAAAAAAGAGGAATGAAATTCTGTGCTGGTTCACTAACTGTTTTTCAGTAATGAAGTATATACTGAGATATGTAGTTATTACCTGTCTCTTCCAGGAATTGTGGTTTGTTCTAAGGAATGTGCTAATCCTCAAAATATCACTGCAAAACAACACAAAATTTGCCTGAGGAAATTACTGCCACCAGAGATGAGGTGACCAAAATTTAGGAGTCCAAATGGACTGGGTATTCCATAAACAGAAACACTACATAAAGGTGATCTGGAAAGACTAAAATCTGAACATCTAAGAAATCAAAGCCAGACATTTAAAAATGTAGCCCAATCTTACTTGATGGAGTTGAAAATACCCTCTCCCTAGTTAGAGATGATTTCATAACTCAATAACAAAGTTTGTCCCTCCTGAAAACAGTTGGCCTGGAGAATAGGATACTGTCAGACCACACAAATGGAAAGTTGTGCTTTGCTGTGGCATGCCACCGGCAGGCAGGTCAAGAACAGCAGT